TGGGGGAGAGGCCCCTTAGCATCTCCCTGCTTCCACGGTCCCTGGTCTCAAGGGTAGATTGAAGACACATAAATTTTTTTTCAAAAAAGACTTATTGTTGTCCAAAAAGGTGATGATGAGGTGGAATGGCCCAGCATGGATTCCATGGCAGCTGGACTCCCTAGAATTTTTTGTAAAATTTGAATGCACCCTTTCCTTGCACACCTGATTATTGAGCATGACTTGGATGTGGCTTTGGGCATGGCTTAAATTCACAGGTTTTTACAAAATGACTGCAAAATGACTTTCTAAATTTGTTTGGGAAAGAGATTGAAAAATGTCATTTTTAATTGAGTAATCCTCTTGAGATCAGGGCTGCCAAGAGGTTTCCAAGTCCTAGGGCAAAACTGAAAGATGTGGCCCAAATGAGCAAAGGGAGCAAAACATTTTTGTGATCACTACTTAGCTTAAAATATATTTTAGAATAATTCTTGCAGTAATTTTCTTGCAATCCTTTAAAATGTTGTGCTATTAGTCCCCCTGAGTTACCAGGCCTGGAATCATCAATTAGAATTATCATGTTTTTGGCCTTGGTAATTGTAGGAAAGTTTAATTTCAACTTTCAATCATTTAATTTTTCTGTGATAAAAAATTAATAAAAACTGGATAAATGCCAAAAGAAAGCCATGGAAAACCCCAAGAATCACTTGTAAATTTGGTGCACACTCAAATTTTCAAACTTGTCACTAGTGTACTCTTGCACTCCCTGGTAAGAGTTTGTGCACTCTCGAGATCTTGTTGAACTGCCATGAAATTTAGACCAGGGCATGGCCATTAACACTTCATCGTTGAATGCCATGAATAAGTTTTTAGGTTTAGATAAAATATTTGTCAAAACAGCACAGGCTGCATCCATCTTGGGGATGGAATAAGTTTTTAGGTTTAGATAAAATATTTGTCAAAACAGCACAGGCTGCATCCATCTTGGGGATGGCTTCATTCTCCAATTTTACAATATTCCTTTCTTTGTAGTAATAGTAATGTAATTTATAAATGCCTTTGAATAAAGTAAACATTAAACAATTAACTTTCATGTTTTTTTAAGTCTTCAGAGTAGAAAACATAGGAATAATGATTGAAATTTATTAGCTTAAGAATGTAAATACCAAGCTATGGGTCAAAATAAGCCAACCAGTAATGCCACAATATGTACGGTTAGGCGTCACATTTCTAAACTGTTCCAAATGCGTCACTGAACTAAACTGCCTAAACTGTTCCAAATGGAACTGCTAGCTGTACTTAAAGGAGTAGGCCTGGCTAACTATTCCTATTTGTAGCTGATCAATCCTGCCATTGCAACACAAAGCGTATCATTAAGTCTAGAACATTTTGCTTTTTTCTATCAAAAGATGATTCATTTTCAGATAATTTATCAAATGGAACTAGAGCTTTAAGGCTGATTCAGAGTACTACATGTGAACTAGTCATTACAGTTTTAGGAAAAAGATGTAAAGTTGGCTCTTGTATACTTCCTGCTACCCAGTGCAGTTCCATAAAGTTCCAAATTTTGTCTCCATTGACAACATCATCACACTGATATTGGTGTTATGAATAGCATTTGAAAAGCCTTGGAATGTTACCTTTTCTATTTTCAGGACTTTTTATGTAATCATAGTTAACCATATTTATGAATTCTATTGTTGCTCAGATTTCCAATGTTTATGCTGTCCTTTCTATTGATGCACAACTATTAAATGTGTAGGAATCATAATGGAGCCATAAGCTTGATAATATTTAATTATTTTTACTTTATCCCTGAATAAACTTATTTTTTTCAAATAACCTGATTTAATGTTATTTCCTGTTTGTTAGATGATGCAGGTGACATTCCTCCAGAGTTCAGAAGTGCTGGTCTCATCGCGCAAATGGATATACCTAAAGGCAAGGTGTTTGGGCCCTTTGCAGGAGTTATCAGTGAGCAAAAGGCATCTCCCTCAACAATGCATACCTTTATCTGCAAGGTACATTTTTTCAAAACTTTCCAAAGTGATTCATTTTAACTGGCATTTGCCATGTATAAAATGCTTCCAACTTTTTAAACAGGTATTTTAAACTATCATGGTAACATCCCATTGTTTGTCGATCAAGATCAAGTTCTGAATTGCTGCTAAGGCCATTTCTGTACATTATAGCTTCTCCCCCAGTCAAGTTGACTGTAAACAATTAAAAGGCAAAAACCAGATATCTTGCTTTTGCTTTGACATAAATCAAAGCAAAATGACTTATGAAATTGATTCTAAAGCCACTTAAAAAATATGTGTTGTTATCATAATGTTTAGACCAAAATACAATACAAGGGTACATGTTTAATTATCTACAGGCAAACTTGTGTCATCAGTAGCAGATTAAAGTTTTTCAATGAATTCAACACTGTAAGTTATGTTGCATGTAGTGGAGGAAATTCATTTTTCAGGTGTGGGAGGGGGGGGGGGCAATGCCGACAAAAACAAGTGAATTTGCTAACAAATGACAATTTACAGACAAAAGCATGCATTAACTGACAATTTAGGAATACCCTGGGGAGAGCACTTGCCCACCCACATCCTTGGAAATTTCTGCCACTGTTGTAGAGTACCAAGCAAATCAAATGAACAGTTTCAACATCATGGATTTGTCTGTTCAAAAACATTTTTCAAAAAGTCTGCATCTTCATTGACCTTCACATGAGAACTTAATCTTGATTGACAAACCTTATATTGGGACTGGATGTCCCATGAAATACAAGGTGGGCATTTTGCTGTAGCTGCTTCCACGGTCACCTAAAGTCCTGAATATGAACCATACACTAACCATCTGCAAATAAACATATCATAGAAATTCTCTGCCTTGGAAATCTCATGAGCCGGAATAATTTTTGTCTTCTATTTATCTGGCAATTTTTATCATTCATCTGTCTCTCCCAAAGAGTCCAATAGACATATTTCCCATTCAAATTCTTATGGCCAGGCCTAGAATATATTTGAAAACAACTGTCACTCTGTTATGGTTTTTAATAGGTTGACAATCATACTAACAGCTAGACTTCTTCTTGGGAAAGATAAAGCAATTATTGGATCGTGAAATGCTCAAAATTTTCTTGTCATCAATACAGTGTTTATTTTTAAGGTGAAAGATTCTAGTACACTTGGATTCAAATACTTTCATGCCAATAAAAATGAAAAGAAAAAATGTGATTGGCTGAAGATGATCCAACCTCCATTTGGTAGTAAATCTAATAACATTGTTGTCTATGGCAATAATGATGGTGTGCACTACAAAGCTATTGAGGACATTGCCATCGGGGAAGAATTGCTGGCATTGTGTGAAGATCACCAACCAGGTGAAAGTTGCTTGTTTTTAAGTCTTTTTAAAACCTCCCTGCATACTACCATCAAGCTAAATAGCTATTATGGGATCGTTTCAGTAGTGTCTTTTAATAAATAAATTGTGAAAGGGTAGTATCTTTAAAATGCAGCACACTGATGTTGCACACTTTGTTCAACAAGGTGGGAAGATTTATGAACAATGTCTGATATACAGGGATAATAACAAATGTTGACTCTTATCTAATCCGAGATAATGGCTGAATGTCATGTGCAAAAATTTTGAAACTTTTCCGTAGATTATTCACTCTTGTTTTGGGCATTAGTAGAAAGGATATCAATGATAGCATACCAAGTTAGATCAGGCTACTTGGTTTATCTTATATTAAGTACCAATAAGTACATCAGAGATCTGACTTATTTGTTTAACAAACCCGTTTGCAAGCGTTCTTCATTAGAAAAACATTAGATTAGGATATTAAGACCAAAATAGAAGTTCATTTCAAGGGTTAAGTATTTGCTAGTACGAATGTCACTGATTCTAATAATTCAGTTTTTATTCAGGTTCAATCCGAAAATGGGCAGTTTCTTCTCGCAAAAAACGACCATCGGTTATAGTTTTGAAAAAAACGGGCGGTGATGAAGCCTTGGGCCTAAGTGAATCAGTCCAAGTGGAAACTCAAAAGCGAGAAAGAAGTAGGAAGAGAACACCTAGGAGGATCTCAAAGCGCTTGGCAATTCAAGAGAAAAACAGCGACAACAGTAACTCAGAGCAGGTTGAACACTGTTCAAGCACATCACCTTCATATGATGCTAAACAGCCAGTCGATTCCAACATCAGTTTGGAGAGTCCCACTCCTGCGAAAAGAAAAAGAACAGCAAAGTTTACTTCGTTCGAAGACAAATCTAGCCCACAAGATGAAACAAACAATAATTTGTGTCAAGATCATGATGGTAAGCTTACTTACATAAGCTTTCTTTATTAATGTGCCCCTGTTAAAAAGCTTTGCATTGTGCCAAAGAAAGATTTTTCTAATTTTTCCCGCCAATTGGAGCAAGGAATTGGACGGCTATTTATACTCCCATATAATTCTAAATCTTTGGCTTTAGATTAGGTGATTTCTTTGGCCTTGGAAAAAGCAGATCGATATGTTTTTGTGTTCTGTTTGGTAAACTACATCCTGAAACACTTTTGACAAATGTTTATCACTAAATATTATTTGGATGTGCAATTTGAAATGTATATAACTAATCTTTTTTTAGAGTTATTTGACGATTGCACAGCCAAGTCTAGTACTGAAAATACAGAGCGCATGGATTCTAAAGACGTTGCAAATCACACTGGAAACAGTAATTGTGTGGAAGAAAGTGATCTAAAATGCGCAGAGTGTAACATTTCGTTCAAGCAGCAAAAGTACCTCAAAAGGCACAGAACTAAATTTCACACAGAACGCAGGTGAATTATTTTTGTAAGGCATTCTCAAATTGTCAAGATTTAATAAATCTCAATCATATATTTGTATCTTATGGGTATGTGGATTGGGGGCTGTGATGCTAAGGTGCAGTAGCTATGTGCTTTCAGGAAAAATGAACTTCTGATTTTACTATTAAGGCAGTAACGTGTTTGACACAGTAAAATTATGTCGATAAAAAGATAGGACTGTCTTTATGCAGTTTCACTTAGCATTTGTTCAACAATTTTTTTTAAGGTGTCAACAATGCGAGTCGGTGTTTTTAAATTTAGCTGATTTGAAAAAACATGTTCGCGAGGAGCACGCAGGAAAAGATGACTTGCATGCTGCTTGTCATATTTGCAATAAAATATTTTCAAAGAGCTATTTGCCGGGCCACATCAAATCACACGATAATGCTTATAAATGCAAAATATGTCAGAAAACGTTCTCTTGTGGCAGCAATTTGAGAAAGCATCTGCAGAAACACAAGCCTGGTTACCATCCGAAGAAAAAAGGCGTGATTGTGACGAGAAAGAAATGTGATACATGTGGCAAAATGCTGAATGGAAACCAAGCCCTCAAAGTGAGTCTGTTTTTTATTATTCGGCAAAACTTCACTTCAGGTCACACTCTCTCGTGTTTTCTTCTCAATAGCAAAACTGTTTTGATCAACCATTTTTACTTCTCCTTTTTGTTCTGTTTTGTAGTCATCAATCTTTTCTGGTTTTCGAATGGTGTGCGTTTTTCTTTTTTATTATATAGGGATTAAGGGTTTTAGCTACACACTGTATTTCACAATAGTTTGGCAAGTCTACCGGCATTCAAAATGAATATTAAAATCTTTTTGCTTGATTTCAAACACTTTTATATTTGACGAGCAATGAGATGAATTGTCATGTTCAGCATTATTTTATCCAGATTGGGAATCATTTTGCTAATTATTTGAAGGTTACCAGAAACTTACCAGCATTAATGCCCATACATAGATACGTTTAAAATTCTTCCTTTTGGATGGATCTCGTGATAGGTTATGTTGATTTTATTGTCTTAATCAAAGTTACGAATATCTAGATTCTGCTGACTTAATTAATTGATGAAACTTGTATGATGTTAATAGGCACACATGCGCCTGCATACTGGAGAACGTCCATTCAAATGTGACAAGTGTGACTGGGCATTTGTGCAGAGGACTCACTTACGCCGACACAAAATGGTAAAGCATGGTGACGGCAAACAGCTCGGTAAGCATCAGTGTGACCAGTGCCAAAGATGGTACTCCAACAAATCAGTGTTGGAAATGCATGTGATCACGATTCACCAGGGCCTAAGGCCTTTCAAATGCAACATGTGTAAAGATACTTTCAACATACAAGGTATACATATTTAATCATAAAAAGATTTGGGAAATGATGACGCCATAAAAATCTACTACGCAATAAGGAGTTTTCAATAGTTCTACATATGATAACAAGATATCACCAATATTTTCAATTCAATATTGGTCTAGATTTAGCACAGTGACTTCGTTCACTTTCCCTATAATGATTTTGTTATTAATTCTTTAGAGCAAGCAAAACTCCAGGTGGAATAGTCCAAGTTCAAAGATACTAAAGATTTATTTGCATGGCGTCATCACTTTCTAAGCATTTTACTCATTATTTTTCATTGGTTTGGCTTCTGTTGCCCTCTGTTTTGGGGTGAACAGAATATTCGTTCGAAATAAAAGGGGGCAAACACTAATCTAAAAAGCAAAGTACCTTTACTGTCGCCACAGAAATATTTCATTGAACAAGATTCTTTTATTAAATCTTGTTTGAGAAAACATTGATCTAAACATTTTTTTTTTGAATAAATTGTTTTTAATGAATTATAACCTTGTGAACTTTCGACTTTTATTATTTTTAAATAATATTCAGAATCTATTGCAAGATGCTTTTACTTTTACTTTGGAATAATCGTCTGAAATACCTCCTATCTAAATATTAATCTGCAATGATTGAAATTGCATGGGCCTGTCCAAAGTAAATTGCTAAATGCAACATGTCTGAGCACCTTTCTGCTGTGTATTCAAATGCATCTTTTTTAATTTAAAAGGCGCTGAAAATGTCCTATCAATAAGAAATGCAACTTTAATTTTCCTTTGTGTAAAAGTGTATCTTAAAACACGGTTAATGGGGATTCATATTGCAGGATTTTCAGAATCTAATTAATAACGTGTACAAAATGAAAAAGTATGATTTTATTGCCCATGCTATCAATTGAAAACTGTGGCTTTATCTGTTTTTTTTTGTTGGAAACTATCTGATCTCGTTCTCCGTATTTCGCTCTACAAGGCCTTCTTCTGCGTCACCAAAGAGAGCTACATCAAATGGATGTAGATTTACCTGAAGATCAACGAAAATACCTTTGCAAAGAAGATGGATGTGGAAAAAAGTTCAGCTTGCAGTCCGACCTTAATAAGCACATATTTGAACACACTGGTGTACATCCGCATCAATGCAAGGAGTGCAATAGCTATTTTTCAAGCTCAGGTAATTGCAACTTAACAACCACGTTTCATTTTCATTACCGCCAATCTATGTTTCAAGATGCTTTCGTTTCTATTCTACTTAAATGCAAAAAAGGATTGTGAGAGATGAAAAAGTCATATGTGGTTCTAAAAGCTACAGATTAAGGATGCCTTTTGATTTGAGCATCTCTAGATGAAGTTCTCAATCTTCTAGGAAATCTGGGAAAGCACGTACGTAGGATACACCGGGGTGTGAAGATATCAGAGAGCAAAGCAGACAGCTCCGATGAAAGATTTAAATGCACGTTGTGTGAAAAGGTATTTAGTAACGCAGCCAGCTTGCGAGAACATGGCAGGTATGTTGAGTTTATACTGAAAATTATTGTATTTTCGAATGACTAGACATCGTTTATTCAAAAATATTTTTTCAACCATTCTGAAAAATTCTCATACTTTAGGTATAGCTGAGTCATTTTCTTGAATTTGGGGAAGAAAGTATTTAGAACGTATGATCGGCTATTGGTTAGCAATTAATGATATGTAATAATTTTTAATCCCCTTTTTTTATTCAGTTTAGGAAGAACTTTACTCAACAATATACAGCAATTTAAGCGAATCATTAAACTTTCAATGTTTCAAATGCCATCTAATTTCTGCCTTATAATGCAGGATCCATACTGGCGAGAGGATCAAATGTTCAAAATGCTCTTCAACATTTGTCCAAAGATCAGGACTCCGAAAACATTTAAGGTATAAGTTACTCCACAAGTGGTTTTCTCTATTTTCTGTGAGCAGTTATTTGGGATGGGATGACACCTACTCGCCCATCAGCATCGACAACAAAGACAACCGAGTCCACGTTTGATAATATGATTAGCCATATTTTTATTGGGCTACTTGTTAATCAGGTAAAACCATCTGTATACTTAATATTGTCCTTTCGTGGTAGGTTAAGTAAGGGCTTGGCAAAAAAGAGGGAGTCATTTGATATTTTGGGGACAAGAGACACTATTCACATGAATGGAGCAAAAAGTTTCCTGGAAAAACGTGGGGGTTGGATGCGCCCCTAACGCCCCCCCCCCCAATTCCTACGCCTAAAGTCATTGGACGACGGTCTTGTTCGCAAGGGCTTCATGTATATCCAATTTGTCTTAGGATGTCGTATTGACTATATCCTTTGTACCTGCTATTTTCAATTTTTAAAGTCAGTCTGTCTAGAAGGAGACTATTTGTTGCGTTAGACCTATTATTAGAAGTTTAAAAGAAGAGCCTTTTTGTTGCCATTGCGAGATTGTTTCTTTTCAGTTGAACCTCTTTATCAATAGGTGCCTTCGTTGCCCTGGCTTGAAAAAGGAGATGGAAGACAGAGGTGAAGATGCTAAGCCAAAAATTTATAAGCGCTCCCGTACGTGGAAATGCAATGAATGTGACAAATTCTTCTTAGGTCCAAGTGATCTGAAGGCTCATAGCCGTGTTCACTCTGGGGAAAGGCCGTTCACGTGCTCAATATGCGGCAAGAGCTTCACACAGCCGGGCAATCTAACAAAGCACGAAAAGCAAGTAGCAATATTAAGACTTTGTATGCTCGTAGGTACTAAAATACTTTGTATTCAAGTGAAATGATGGCAAGGGATTACAGTATGCTCCAGTTTTGTACGCTATCGAGTTATGTTTCGACGTGCCGTGGTAGTTCAAGGTCATAAATTTGGTTTGTTCGAATTAAGGAAATAAGGACACTTTGCTCATTGGACTGGACTGAAGATGCATAGCGTTTGATATGCTGACAACAAATTTGCGGAGTTTCCATCCCATTCTTCCCAAATCCCCATTTTACAGAACATTTTCCTTTTTTGAGAGAGTTTCAAGAGAATGAATTATGTTGAAAATCGAAGAAAATTTTTATAGGACCGAATAAACAATGTTTTGTACCTGCGAACGACATTTCAATTCGCCTCCTAAAACTATGCCATGGAAAATGCAGTGTTATTGTTCATCAGATTTCAACTACCCTAACTTGAAATTCTTTTTTTGTCAATTGTGACCAGCGTGTCCGTTTACTGTTTGACATGAAGGCCTGGTAATTCTAGATAGTTCGTACATTTTAATTGCTTATTCCCCTAAATCAGGTCCACTAGCTAATACCCATCCCGTTCTCTCTGCATTTTTCAACTATTAACGATCATTTAAATTCCAGGTATGTTCATGGTGGTGAAAAGCGCCCAAAGGAAATCAAAAGGGAAAAGAGATACTCCTGTAGCTTGTGCTGCAAGTCGTTTTCCTCTCCTGGTGACTTATCAATGCATTGCCGCACACATACCGGAGTCAAGCCCTTTGAATGTACGCATTGTGGAATGGCGTTTACTCAAAGGGGTAACCTGAAAAAGCATGTTTTCCGTTGGCATACTATGAACGCATTAAAGTCACACCGGAAGCCATCAAATCATGAAGGGCAGGAAGAGAGAGTTGTAATTAAAGGACTCGAGTCCAGCTCCATGTCTACAAGCAATGCCTCTACGACTTGCTCTGTCGTGCTCCCGCCTTCGTTCATTACCAACAATAAGGAAGTCCTAGTCACTAATGTTCCAATCGCCATGGCAGCCATGCTCAAGCAAAAAGCAACTGAAGTAGCAAAGTCTAGTCAACCCTCTTCATTTTCGGTGACGTCACTAATCCAGTGCCTCACTGCCACACAAAAAGCCATTTCTTCCGCATCTACATCAGTTGTAGAGTCTTCAGAAAGTACCCCCAGACCCATCATGAAACAGATCAAGGCAACGAGCCAGGCGACTTCAAAAGCAATGTCTCCTCCAACTACACCAGTTACAACGCCCCAAAATGAACTGATCAAACTTCCGGATTTCAGAGCCTCAAAGGCAACTTTAACATCAAACAGTATGCCAGCAGTCAGTAATTTTATGAAATTGACTGATCCCCAGTCAGTTTCATGTTCACCAGTATACCAGTTGGATTTGGTCAAAAATTTCCTTCCTACTAAACTGCAAGCGCCTGTTGATGCAAAACATAGTAATCCGATGTTCACTGAGCCTCAGGCATCATCAACAAGTACCATTTCCACTAAGGAAATTCAGAGAGTGCATGATTTCTTGACAGACTCGAACCTTTTAGATATTGGAATTCAAAAGTCTTCGGCGGGAAGCCACGCTCATACACAATCACTCAACTTTAATGGCGATTTCACAGGTCAAGTCAGGGGAATGGAATTCGCACAAACTGATTTAGGAAGCCCTCGGTTTAGATTTTCGGGGAGAAGCACTTTTGCTAGGTACGTTTGAGAGACTGTGTTTTGTTGAAGTTATCTTGTGATTTAAATGTGACTGTGTTTATTGTATAGAGTTAATTGAGTATAAAATAATTTGCGTAATTTAGGCCTTGGTGTGATAACTTCGCTTACCTAGTATCACGGTTTGAAGATCTTTAGTTATTTTTCCACTTCTTCTGTCTTCAATCCAGCGATACATTACATCAGTTGGACCACGCTAAGGAACAAATTTTAGGTTATTGAAAGAGGAATATAGATGCCAGTAGAAACAATGGTTAAGACTAGAGCGTAGCATTTGCAGCTTATTGTTTCTTAAAACAAATAGTTAATTGATTCTTTAACCTAATTTGATCTTCTATTTTGATTTTTCAGGATGCAGCCAGAATCGCCGAAAGGTCTTCATTTGCCTTTCGACAGTCAACAGCTTGCAGCTGGAAGCTTTCTAGCTTCTCAGCGACTGACGCACCCGGATATCCAAAGACAAGCTCGCGTGGCCAGAAGAGAAGCATTTCCTAATGTCATGGACACGCAAAGCGAGTTTTCGATTGCTAGCAGCCACTCTTCTCTGCATCATAATTTTGCCAATGTGAGTTTACCACAACCGCTGCCAGGGGTTGGCAACTACTTCCATCCACCAGGGAAAGTTCTGACTCCCCCTTGGGATCCAACAAACATCAGGGACACTGGAATGCATGTTAGTGGTAGTCAGATGCCTGGGATGCTGGTGCAGAAGTCCTTTCAGATAATTGGTAATGGCTCATCTGATGTGCGAAAATAATGAACAACAGAAATCAATACTATTTTCATTTAGACGTATTTTAAGGCGCATAGTTGTAGCTTCTTGTTTTAGCCTCAAGTATTTTAATAAAAAAGTGTTTGATTTGCAAATTTGTATGCTGAGATATTTCTTTGTAGATATTTTCTGTATGATTTATTTTCAAAATTTTAAACGCACCTCATTCACATAATCATATTTAATGTAACTAATTTTCTTTAAGGTTCTCAAGATTTCATATTTCACATTGATTTATTATAACATGGTGGTATAACATTCATTATTATATTCTTATTTATGTTGACTTTATTGCCATTTCACCGTTTCAAAACCTGGGTATTTTATCGGCAGGTCAGCTAGGAGCCTACGTAGCCAACAAACCCAACAAATATAGCTGAAGTGTGATATATTTCCGCTTAGCATTGATCAATGTCTTCTCTTTAATGCAACCCCAGCCTAATACAACCCAAGTTTAAAATGAAAGTGAAGGGGAAGATTTAAAAGGTATTTATCATCATCCATCTATATCACCATTACGTGCCTGTATTTGAATTTTTTAAACGTCGCATCCTCCACGCATGATTATGGAATAATTTAGTTTTGCTGTTGAATCTAAAAGTTACATTTGCTAAGTTGCAGTTTTCTTCAGTCTTGAATTCCTTTTGTGTTTTGATTTATTTCTTTGATGCTGGACTAGCAAAAACAACTCAAGGCAAAGTTAATGTAAAGGCAAAAACAACTCAAGTTATGGTTTATTCAACATATGCTTTTTCGGTTACTGTATTTGTATTTGCCATGTCCTTTAGGCCACGTGAACAGAGCAGATAATCTACAAGCAAGCTTTTAAGTGGAGTAAGTTTTCATAGAAAACACATTTAAAACCATGATTGTTTGAATAAGTTTTTTGCAAGTCATTTTGTCTCGATCTCAAGTTCGAGATCTCAAACTACTATTCTTAAACAGTCTGAATCTATTGGTAGATATATTGAGCTTGTTTAAGCCTTTCATAAGATTTGCATGCTAGATAAACTTTAATTGGGGTCGTTTGTTTAAGGTACGCGCCAGGCCATTCAATAGACCTATAGACCCTTCATTTGACAATGTTTGTTACATTCGCAATGGTGTTATTCATAAGCATTACCTCAATGCGATGGCAGCCACCGATTGTTTGGGAGTTGTTTGTATCGTTTTAGCATTGATTTGCAAATGTATTTTTGTGTCTGCGAATAGAACAAAGAACATAATGCTACAAAAGTGTCAGTGAGCGGATCAACTTTATACCAGGTTGCCTTGTTTTTAAGCGATCAAAGGTTTTACACGTGAGTTTGGCAAGAACATTGTCTGTGCGCACGCACAACCTGTTTTCACTTTTAATCTGATTTGGCAAAAGTTTCGAATTGAACCCTGACTGGAGAAACTGGCAATTTTATCTAAGTTTTTTAAAGAGTTGTGGAATGATGAATTTTGCGAGGTATGTCTGTTTGTTTTCCAAGTAGAAGTTTATTTAAAAATCACAATTTTATGGTTTATTTGATACCCGTAAACATTGACTGGTTTACACGATCCATACGCTGCAAAAAGCGTCATTTTATAAACTGGTTTGTGCCAGGAAACGTATTTTCTTGTGTTTACAGTTGAGCAAAAAGCGTCGCAGATATATAAAGTTTAAAACAAGACTCGACCTTTTCTCTAGTTCAGGTAGTGTACCGTCAATGAAGATCAAAGATCAGCCCGGCCTGCACGTCACGCTATTATTTGTATTTTGCTCAAGGAAGAATATTCTACTGTTTTTTGTATCATGAGCCAGTTTCATTATTTCCGTTTACGAAGGAGGAATACATAGGGAAATACATTGAAAAAGGTAACGCTATTACGAATTTGTTGGCACACACAGCGTCTGCTTCTTTTCTGTTAACAAAACAAGGTCAGCAAAAACATTCTGAGGCATAATACCTAGATTCGAAATAGAGTTTTTCCTTCACGTTGGCTAAAAGAAATGCATTATCCAAAACCAGAGGTACTGCATGACTTAAGCATATCGCAGCGAATGTGCAACATATTGTTATACCTCTTCTGTACTACCCTTACTGAATCAAATTTGGTTTAGTCGAAGCAATATGTAGGCCCTATCCATATGTATGTTCGACTTTCTGGTCATGTGTGGAAGCGAATTTGCCTAAGTTAAAGGTATTAATGGCCCCGACAAGTACGACTTCGCAAACCTTTCTGTTTAGAATTTTGCCTTTGATCTTGCAATCGATGTATTAGCAGTCATTGTAGTTTTCTAATTTTAATGCAACCATTCCAAGAGCTACATTGTGTGGTTCTATGTGACACCTAAAAAAGAAGATTAAAAAATCCCGCAGGCCCAGATATGCAGCAATGCTCCATAATCCAGAAATGTCCACGACTTAGCCTAAAAGTTTGCATAACGGGCTAAGTCATACCTAGCACTAGACTGAACAACGTTGCCAATTCCTGTTTTCTCTCTATATAGCAGAAATTATCGACAATATCGCCAAAAACTCGTGACTTAGACACATGTCCTTTATGAAATACAAGATTCTTCTGTCTACAAGATAAATTCCGAAAACAGCAGCATTGTCGCGGCCTACTTTCTGTTGGGTTTTCCTTGAATTGTTCGCTTTGTTTGCCATCTTATCAGGGCTATTCGTGATAGAGAATTCCCCCAGCAATGAAATATCTAACAATCTTTAAACATTCCATTGATATGGTTTGGACATATTGATATGGGTTGTAAATATGTTCAGTCTTCCTATTTCAACCCAGTTCAAATATTTTGAACCTTGTTTGATATCATACGGGATGAAGTTTCGAAGTAAACCCTTTGCATAACAAGTAAACGAAAGTAAATCCTTGGCGTTTATTGAAGAAAAGGAGAGCACAAATTTCCATCCTGATGCAGATAGAAACATGAAGCTAATTTATTGTTAACAATCGAATCTATGTTGGAAAATAAGGATAATGCAAGCAGACATGTATGTCATTGGACTGGAACAGCTTGAAAATAGATAGAACATGATCAGTATTTTAAAGTGTTGTAGGATGTACAATACATCAGTATTGTACATCCTCCATGAACAAGCAAACTAAGCATTCGCGTGTACAAAAATAAGACACGAACCTTAAATATTTTGGGCCAAATAAGATTTTACAGTTTCAGCTGCATACCCAGAACGACACAATACTTCAAGACAGAGGGTGCAGCCACCCACATCCAAATTCATGCAAAGCAGGTCATAGTCAGTGAGCATGTGCTTTCCAGCTGACAATGCTCTTAAAGATTTACTATGCTATTGAAAATGGGAATAGCAATTGAATTTAAAAAATTCGGAGAACCGAAATGCTTAAGTCGTGTCTTCTTTAGTCTTCGTAATATGTTGTCTTTGAAAAAGTGAAATGTTGTTGCAAATTTATATCAATAACCTTAAATATGCAAAAGTATCTGCAGTTGCACCTCCAATATTGCATAAAAGCAGTGCAAAAATACACAATTAAAAATACAGTATGCAGAAATACTAAACATTTTCTTCAAATTTGAAAAAACTTTGGAACCGTAAAAACACCCATCATCCCCATATCTTAAATCATTTCAATTTCCTCGCCTTGGAGTATCCAAAAATGTCACTTACATAATGCGATATTCTTTACATATGCATGGCTAGATCTAAATTGTCTCTACCGCCTCTTCATTATCAAGAAGGTCACGATTTAATGCATTTGATCACATTATTCAAATAAGGGTTACGATGATAACTAAATGAAAACGTTCTTGCGCAGGTTTAGTCGCTGTACTGTCACGGGGGTTATGTGTGCAACAGAAATACTGGTCTGGAAAAATCTTACAAATTGGAACAACTGGGAATAAAAAAGACCGAAAATACTTTCAGAAAACAATTTCAGCAGTTTAATTCCAAATAAGATGCTTATAATAAATAACTCTGAGCTCAAAAGTTTCAAAAGCCGCTGTTTACTTGTTTGCAAAAATTGTTTATATCAACCAGTTAGTGCGTTAATGCATGAACGGCGGCTAAAGCAGTTAATAAATTTTAGATGCCTGTATACTTAAACAATATTTAATCAAAATGACACTTTTTGTGTATAATTTAAAAGATGTTCAAAAATTTAGTATGATATAGTTTTTCATTAACAGAAATGTTTCTAAGAAGTAGTCTTTGAAGGAAAACATTTTGTACAGAATTAAAATAATTTGAATAGAAGATTGATTGCAGGATAAGAATGAACGGAAAGAATATAATTAATAAATTCGCTTTTTTACGTGATGCTCTTGCCGTTTCAGAATACTGCCTATTTGATACATTGCTAAATATTGATCGGGATAACGGTTTAAATAATTATTTTCACAGGATTCGTGTATATAGGCGTTTATCATTCCAATTCGGTATACAGAACTCTAATCGACTGCTTCAAAACTCCTCCCCCCCTCCCTGGATGAATATCATTTTATTGACCCGTAACATATGTAATGTAACAATGGTACCTGTAAACAATTTCAGCTTTCTACTCTCCGGGTTACTACTAACTAAAATTGATTCTTCGCAGCCATGTACCATGTCAGGACCTAAGCAGAAGTCGCAGTATGATTGTAAGACAATTGAATGGACCCTGCAACTTACTCTAACTGGCATTGTGGATTCTACGAACACGTTCTCCTAGATCAGGTATTTTCTCTGCTTTTGTCATTCGTGAATATTAATGCTCTAAAACTTGTTCTGGTCTTCAGTTTGAAAAGGTTGCTAGAATGAATAATTTGACGAAATCCATGTAACGGATTGCACCTTAACAGCCAGTTGTTTATTTGAACCTTAAATAAACAAAAATACCTTGTCTTCAAGATTATAAAAAAGAAAGAGTTATTTTATAACCTTCTTTTTTGCGTGTATTTCTTCTAATTTTTGATATGTGAATGAACTGATTTTATGCAGTCTCAGCCCAATACAACCCAGGAAATCAAGCAGAATAAAATGAAAGGTATGTAATCTGAAAATTTTGTGCCTTCCTGGCTGGAAAGCTTTTGTATTCATTTATGTTAGGTTTCATTGTAAATAACTTGTTTTCTTTTTGATGTCACACTAGAGATCAGAATACATGCCTGTATGTAGATGACTTTATAGACATACGGACAAACACTTTCATGTGACTAAACTTCAATGTTATCGCTTACGCTACTGGACAAAAAATAAGGATAATTTTGCAACAAAACGAGTTCATCGTGAACCACCAGAGAAGTGATTTTTGCAATGGCGAGTTTGCAAGCAAATCTTCCAATGTTTCTTTTTTAACATGAGCACTAGAAATGACATCATGTCAGCAATTGATTTTAAAAAATTTCTATTGACGTTTCTCACTACCTAGTTTATTCTTAGTATTTCATAATATTTCATAGTATAGAGTAAGGCGATTGATTTTCTGTCTGATGAAGGGCTGACTTAGAAAAAAGATGAAAAAATCACAACGCCACCCATAACTTTATATTTCTTTAAATGTGTAACTTGGAGTTATGAGATGTTTTTGAAACGCATACATTGATCTGTGAAGCATGTCAAGAAATGTCTTTAGGTTAACGGTAAAATGAACTTACTTTTCTCAGAAAAAAGGCCCATTAAAGTATACATACGTGTTCGCCCATTCAATGAAGAAGAAAAAGAGAGAAACGAAGCAAGTGCATTGGAAATTTACAAAGAGGAGTCAAGGGTATGCAACCATTTTACATTTGAAATAATATTTCATAATGCGATCACAATGCATTTTTGCAACTTGTCTCGCAATAGCGTTGAGACACAAGTTGTTGGCCGATTACACGGCGTAACACGCCATGTGTGCAAAGGATTCAATTCAGGAAACGATTGCAGGTATTTTATGGTCATTGCACCGTGTAACATTTTTAACTTGTGTTGCAACTTTATGTTGGGCAAGTGTTAGGCGCCTTTGTTTACCAACAATATCCAGTCTCCGAGACAGTTACACGGCGTAACACGCCATTTATGTGTGCAAAGGATTCAATTCAGGAAACGATTGCAGGTATTTTATGGTCATTGCACCGTGTAACATTTTTAACTAGTGTTGCAACTTTATGTTGGGCAAGTGTTAGGCGCCTTTGTTTACCAACAATGTCCAGTCTCCGAGACAGTTACCCGACCTCAAACGTTGCGATGGCAGAGATTGTTGCTGCGTGTAAAACAGTTTGCAAAAAATCTTTACATCCCCCTTCAGCTACCATTGCGAGAATAGCTGTCAGGAATATTGGACCGTGTAACACTAGCTTTATGCCGAAATTTTTGTCCCGATAAAAAAGACCAGCTATTGCCAATTTTTTTATTTTTGTACAAAAATCGTCGTTGGTTCACACCTTGGTGATGTACCCTTTTAAAAATATTCGAGAAGCAGCGTTTAAATATGATTTCATTGTTCAGTTAAATTATTTGGAATAGCAATTTGAATGAAAGAGTAAATGACAAAATATTTACACAACATTTATACCCACAAGTAACAAACCTTTATGATACAAACAAAAGTTTATCTAGAATTATTTGCTAACGATGTTTCCACTGTTTTTTGCTCAGATAAAAGTTCTCGACGAAAGACATTCACTTGAAACGAGCTACTTTTTTGATGGAGTGTTTGGTGAAGATGATGATAACAAAAGAGTAAGTCGTCTTTTAGAAAGAAAACAATTCTTATTGACAATTCTTATTCTTTCGTTTTTTATTGATGAAGTTGCAAGATGACAACATTTTGCAAAAAGCACTTTCCCGACTTCTTTGGAGCATATCAATATATCAAATATCTACCAATAATTCCCACATAATTTCAAATATTTTCTAATTTTTCACATCAATTAAAGGGAATATTTATTGATGCAGCAAAAAATTTGAAAACAAAACATTGCACAATAACTACTTGTAGATTGATCCTTCGTTATGAACATCATTTTTGAATCATTGTGTATCTACTCAGTATTTTGATATATTCAGAACACATCACACATCTGGTCCTAGCAACATTGTCAGTGGATCTCACATTGGCATATGCGGCTTTTTTATAGGTCTATAGCATAACTGCCAAGCCTCTCATTAGCAAGTTGCTCAATGGAATCAACTGTGCTCTCCTAACATACGGACAAACTGGGACAGGTATGTGGTCTATCATTGTAAAATACTATCCTGATATCATTGTATAGCACTGTTCTTTGAAAATATTGATGTAGCAAAATTAAAATAGTAACTTTTGGAAGAGCAAAGAAAGAATGTCAACATTATCTTTTTCACTTCTAGGCCTATTTGCAATTGTTTTTTTTGCTTTTTATGTTTCATGTTTTAGTTGGTATTATGGCCCTGATGTCTGTTTTTACACAATAGTCTGCAAAATGCTCAACAACTAAAATGTGAAAAAAATCACTTTTTTCCATTCAGGTAAAACCCACACAGTGTTGGCTGAAGGAAGTGTGACAAATTATACAATAGATAATCTTTTCGAGCGAATCAATCAAGATGTGGCACATATGTATAAAGTAAGCTGTTGCACTGAATTATTGTGCAGTATTTCTCAAACAGATTTATTGAATAGAATTTGGAAGAGTTTGAAGGAAAATATGTCCTTGAAATGCTTTCACAAAGAATCTTCACTATAGAAGAATCTTCACTGTAGAAGAATACTCTTGATTGTATTCATTTGATATTTTTTGCTTAAATAAACATGACAGAGGCATATTTTAAGTCAAAAGAAACATATAACTCGATTTTGCTGGAAAATTATTGCCAATTACCAAAAAAATTGATATGCAATTATGTTAACAACAAGTATTTTTTCAAAATCAACATCTTTTCCAAGTTATTGTCACTGTAAGGGACACATGTGCCCCTTAAACTTTTGAAAAATGCCCTTTTCTAAGAAGTAGCATCTTTGAAATAGTGTCCACTTTTTGTGATATGGTGCCCCTTCCACCCTGTGCTCCTCAAACTCTGAAATGCTTCCAAAGTCACTGGCCATTGTCACCAAAGCATTGGATCACAACAGAGGTATTTGTAAAACAATGAATAAAAAGTGCTTTTATGAAGGCTAAGAAAAATAATGATTTTGCCTTACCTAGGGCTGTAAATAGAGTCTTCATCACTCTCTAGATCAATTGCTCATTTGTGCAAGTTTATCAGGACAAAGTTTACGACCTGTTGAATCCAGAATGCAAGGATGAGCTGTTTGTTCGTGAACATCCAAAGAAAGGTAAAAAAATTATATTTCCTTATTTCCTTTTAACCTTATCATACCCTCCTCAGCAAAGTTTTGAGTCTCCTAAACCTCGAGCAATGCTAGTTGTGAACAAAACAATTCTTTCCTCGACTAAATTTACGACAAGGTTAAAATGACAATGCCAAATAAGTCGTTTATATAAATCTTTAGTCGTTTTAAAAGTTTGTCCAATTGGGTACCTACTGCAGTACTTTTCAGTACTGAAAAGCGTTTCGCTTTAAATATTTGAAATTTTTGTAATTTAATTGTTAAAAGCCACATAATTGAATATGCACAAATAATGAGGTAACTTATTGTCTAATATACAAATCATAAGTTCCTTAAAGTAAAAGCAATGTATACAAGTTCAAGGGCAGTTAAATATTTTCCAACAGAAAGGCAAAATTGAAACAAATATTGCAAATTGAATTGATTTCAAAACTTACCCATCTTGGAAAGTGTACCTGGCAAATTCAAAAGTACTGTATAAATTGTCAAATTTTCGTTATGTCTTTGTTTTGGGTTAGGTTTTTATGATTTTAAAGGCAAATGAGAAATCCAAAATGAGAATCAAATCAATCCTTGGTCGCTTCCACTCTGTTTGTGCTTGCTGACGTGATATGTTTTCCCGCCATGTTGGACCGCAATCGAGGCTGCAAGTAGCATCTCATGCAGCAGATTCGTTTTAAAGCTCTGCATTGACTTTAACTTAGGAAAAAAGTTAAGTTTGCTCTGTAAATTTCAACGGGATTTTGACAAAGCTTATCTCAACTCTACTTCATTCAAAAGTAGGAACTTTGATAGCAAACCCCTGATGATTTAGCATGAATATATTTTTTCGTTAAACGATATTTTTCTTTCCTTTTTGAATGTTGCAACTTTTAGAATAAGCAAAGTTTAATTTTTTTAAAATGCCCTTCAAAAATTTCGTAATTAGCTCTCTTTGATTAATTAGCAGCTAAGAAAACTTGAAGTTTAACTGCAGGAAATACTGCAAGAATTGGAATGCATTTCAAAATACATATTTGCTAAGTTTAAAAGAGAAAGATATTCTACCCCTACTAGATAATGCACAATAAAGAAAACCATCTGTAAACTTTTTAAAATCAATATTATTCTTTCAATGTCTAAATTCTTCACAGGAATTTACGTGGCCAATTTGAGCCATCACTCAGTCAACAGCGCTGAAAATGCTTTAGACTTACTAAACCAAGGAAGAAAGGAACTTATAATCGCTGAGACGAAAATGGTTCGTCAGTCTAGCAGGTAATCTTCTTTAGATTAGTAATGGTAGCAAATACATAGTCTCAAGTCAGATGTAGCTGTCTTGGCCTAATTTTTTAACTGCAGCAATTGTTGGTAAAAATTTTCATCTTCGCGATTTGTCCCCAATACGGAATTCTAAGGATCTAATCTTGAAATAAAATTAAGGCGAATGAAAGATTTTGACAACAGTTTAAGGTTAAGGGTACGGCTAAACTTTTTAAATACTTTTTTTACCTGACATAGCTGTCAGATAAACAATATTTGAGTAATCAACACATGATTTATCACTTAAACTTTATACAACTTAAGAATGATGATATTAATATTCAGTCAAATTTTTCTTCATGGAACACCATAAGCTGTTCTGTAACTTTTCAAGTATCATAAATATATACTGATATGTGATAAAATATTTTTAATTCATAATTCTAGATCGCACGCCATTTTTCAACTGAGCATTGAGAGGCGGCTTGATCCTAAAGGATGCAAGACAAGATCATCTAGTATGTTGGACGAATGTTTTTTGTCGAAGACAATGTTTAATATCTAACGAAATTAGTGATACTGCTCACTGACTACACATTAGACTCGACATCTGATTACACGTTTAAGAGAGATATACAAAACCGACCTTGCAAAGACTATATTTCACTATGTATATGTCAGGTTAACTGCTGGAAAAACACGCCAGGAATTAGACAACGTGTTTCATTTTATGTAGACGAGTGGTTAAGGAATCCAACAGGGAAACAATAACTCATTGAATTGATACATAGATTTGTAACTTGCGAAACAGTAGCTTGTAGCTTGAAACATGTAGGCTAATTATTTCTAATTTAAACAAAAATAATGTTTAGGCTTGCAAGTTAATTTTTGTTTAGAAGAACAACCAACATCCATTACCTTGAACTTTCGAAAAAAGATAATCCTGTTCTTTTAATCGAGAGTTTGAAGTATTGAAAAATTTGGTCTAAACATTGACTATTATGAAGGAACAAAAAATTTGCTAGAGTAACAAAAAGTTGGGTCTGTATCGTATTATCGAGTCTAAATGTATTATTTTTTTCTATATAAAGGTCCTGCAAAGGATGATGAATCCACGCAGTCAAGCCAGTCAGATATGAATGCATCATGTGACTATGAGGTATTTGCCAGTTAATAATAACACTATATGCCGGGACGAAATATTAGGTTTACATTGAATTTGTTTTGAAATTCGATTCCCTTGTTCCTGAATATTACCTTGTCATATTACTATTTATTGCAAGATTCACAGAATCCGGCGGACAGCTTTATCCTGCATTTCCTTCTTCTTCCTTTATTATAGGTCTTTCAACTGCTGTAAGTTCACCTTTTATCGCTGTCAAATCTAGATAATGACTTCGTACCAAGGCATAAGGCATAGTTTTAGCCTTTTTAATGTTGGTTTCTTCATAAAAAGTTGTTGTACTTTATTAAGCTTGATTTTGTCATTTTTGCTTCTCTTCTTCAAGGTTTTTCCGTTCCTTTACCAGCGTTATATTATTATCTAATGAAGTTTGTAATTAAAAAATGTATTGCTGAAACCAAGATTTAGCAATAAAATTCCACTTCATTTAAAATAGATAAATAATTTCGTCTTCTTGATAGCACCTAATTCATGCAAACAAGTCAACGTTTCAAATGAGTCTCATAACACTAAGTAATCTGAAAAATTTTGTACTTTCACCACAGGATGGTGATATGACAGCAATGATGTTAGAGGAAGACATGATACTGCGAGGGAAAATTGACATGTATGTAAAATGAAAACAAAATGATATGGTAAAAGTACGACTTTGTACATGGAAGTTGAATAGTAATGCGACGTTTCGCCTTCATCAGGTTCAGAGAATAGGAAAAGCAGCGGTTAAGAAGAGAGTAAAAGAGTAGGATAGAAGTTTTATCTATGTAAAATGTTGTTGTTTGCCTCAATTTTCTAATAGTTTAATAACAAGTCAAAAGTAACAGTATGACATTTGCATAATGAAACACATCCTATTCAGATGTTTACTTAGAAACTGTGAATGTCTAGCAAACACAAGACAGTGCATAGAAAAATCTTTGTAACAGCTTTGTACGAACTCTTAATTTTAAGTAGAAGCAGTGTAAAAAAACAATAAAAATCTCATTTTAGATGTGACCTTGCTGGTAGTGAAAGACTTGGCAAGACAATGGCTGAAGGTGTCCGTTTATCAGAAGCAAAGCACATAAACTCCTCTCTTCTTGAACTTGGGTAAGTTAAGACTTATTTACTGAACAGAAGCATGAATTCTTTCATGGCCTACGTGAATTCCTTTTTCTTGTTTTGGACCCATAGAGATGCACCTATTCTCGAGTTTGGCACATCTCTAGCCTCTTCACCGAAGGAAGAGTAGCAACACAGTCTTCTTCATACAGTTAACTTTTTTCATATGCAAACGAATCTAGGAGATTATCTTGTTGCATTGTGCAGCATAATACCATATGAGAATTTGAATCTGTTTTTAGTCGTTTGAAACTAATCGAGCTAATTTAAATTTGTCTGTTCTGTATTTTAATTATCTCAGATACCGAGAAAACAAGTGCATGCTAGGCTAAAAACACTCTTTTTGTAGCTAAAACTTTTCAACGATTGTATTTTGTCTTCTTCTAGAAATGTTATATATGCCTTATCCGAGGGCACAAGGAGGCATATACCGTTCCGCAACTCTACTTTAACAAGGTTATTGCAAGAGTGCCTTGGGCCTCAATGCAGGACAAGTTTCATTGTGAGTAATAAATAACCTCAGCTCTAGAGATTTAAAAACTCTCCTCTTGTGAGAATGGTAGAGTGTATTCTCAGATGCTGTTGTAAGATTCACAATAGTTTTTTAAAGTAATGACGTAAAAAAATCAAACTTTTAAGTTTGGATCCCATAACCTGAAAGAGCATCTATAAGCAAGCCTATAAATGTGCTAATTTAGCTATTGTGTTACGAATTGGATAAGATATGGCCCAATGAGCATTTACTTTCCCCAATCAAACCTCTGTCTGTTCACAACTCTATGAACAGAGCCAAAATAAAAGTAATACGTTATCAAACTTCAAATCTTCTATTGGCCATATCTCACCAAATTTGTGACCCATTTAACTGATTTTTTATCACAAAAAGTAATTAATGGTGTTTTTGTATGGTTATGCAGTCAAAATTCCAAAAGTCTGAAAAAAGATATGTCATGATGTCACACTCAAGAACTCTATTCTTTCTGTTCTTGCTGTAAAGTTACTATTTTTGAAGACAAAATCTTTCCAAAATTATTGTTGAAACACTGTAATGTCAGAGTTGACGATGTCAAATCGATTTTACTTCATACTTCATTTTACTTCATTCATTTCGCTTCACCTACTTATAAGTGATTTCGCCTAGAACAGGGTAAATCTAATATTTTTGAAAACGATGATTATTTCAGCAAGATTTACAACTTCTGTTTTCTATCACACAAAAGGTTTGCGTCGCTCCAACTGCTAGTGAAGCATACGAAACAAGGTGCAGTTTGAATTTTGGCACAAGGGCAAGGAAAATCACAAACAAAGAAAGGCTTATATTGAACGTTGAGGTGAGAAATGTAAACTTGAGGTAGTGTAAAAACAAAACACTATCAATAAGTTTTGAAGCTTCGATCCTGAACAGACGGAGTATTGGCTTAGGCTTCTCTTTCTTTTAATGTCAATTAGTGACTTATCAGCAGCTGGTCATTATATAATTATTCGATGATGTTTATAATTATTGTCCTTTATAGTTTTGAATCAATGGCAACTGTTTTGGCAAAAAACATATAGCACAATCACACTCTCGTAAACGATTTAAAACATGCATCTGTGCATTTTTATCTGGCTAAAACACAAAGTTAGCAAGAAACTTATTGTTTAAATCGAAGTCTGTTTCTTCAAACGATTCACAAAGTGGTACGAAGTCGATTTCATTTGAAATAGAAGCAGGAAATTCTGAGACAATTCTAAGGATCATAAAGTAATGAAACGTTTACAAAATATGCAACAAAGTGCAACATTGAATCTTATTCAATACAAAATGATTCTTCTCTTACGCAAGTCGCCCTTTTCATGATATTGTATTGAGGGATTTTGTTTTAGGTTGATTACAAAATTCTTGCAAAGAGGCTTGCCAGAAGAATTGAATGCCTTGGTAAGTCGTCAAACTGCTTTCAGCTTTTAGCAGCACCTCGGCCTGTGTTCACAAGTTCCAAAATCTTATAGAAAATTTGCACCTTTTTCTTACGTTGCTTATAAAGCACATTATTAGAAATACCTTGTAAATAATAACCAATAGCCAGTATCTACGAATTGCTCATGAAAGTAATGAAACTACATAATCAAAGATACACCGAATAGGCTTTTACTACCCTCTTTTGATATTTTGCAAAATGAAGGGAGATGGCTAACCTTTTTATGCTTTGGTGTTTTCAAACAATTGTCAGGGCACGTGCCATAGATATTTCAGAAAATAAAACATTTGAAATAATCTTCATTTCACAGAAGAACAGTTAGACCAGTCTGGATTTTCCCATGCAGTTTTACTCAACAAAACAGAAACAGAAGCTCCAATTTCTGTGCAAACTCAGGTAAGATTAACCTCTTTTAAAGTTTCAATACACCACTTGTTCTTGCCTCGTTTACAAATTAATCATCTTACTTATCAATCCAAGAAGTTCCAATTAATCCAACCAATCAATGGATTGCAATCTAAGAAATGCTTAATTGTAAATGCATAGTATTAAATTCCTTGAAATCAGATTTTCAGCTTGAAAATTCTGCTCATTCTAGACAGAGATTGCTCTCGCTGAACTTCAAAATTCACAGCAACTATCCAATAACGATGCTATCATCAGCACTTCAAAATTCCCTCAATTGGAAATTCTTATCATTTCCGAGATAATGGCTACCCTTGCCAACAGCACAAGAAATGTATCTGCAGGCGAGAACACAGATCTTCTTTACGAGAAGATATCAAAACTTCTGCATGAACTGATGGATGCTGTATCAATGCAGCATGAGAATTATTCCCTAACTGAGGACCATTGGGCAGAAGCTGATCTGAAGCATATCCTTAAGGATACGATGGATGATCTCGATTTGCTTCAGGAATCGATTATCGTTGATAGTGACACATCTTTCCAAGCAAATGACACTATGAAATATACAGAATACGTCTGCAAGCAGTTGGAAGAGCGCTGTCAAGCGATGGAGGAGGATATGAACTACTGCCTCCAGAAATTTCAAGGCCTTGTGATATTTGACGAAGGTGAGGAGATTTAGGAGATTTATTGCTGGAGAAATTGAAGCAAAATGAAAGATCCTCCGTTTAGGCAAAACGAAAGATCCCCCAACTCCTCTTTTGAAGGTTCCAGATAGTCTGAGTATATATTCTGTATCTGCTCTTTGGCTTAACAACAAACACTGATGCAAACTCAATGCTCAGCAAACGAACTTTCTCAATGCAGCAACAGTAAAGAAATTTATGCTACATATCAGGCTCCAACTTGTTGAAACACTATATAGAAATACAAAATGGCCTTTTTACTTTCTTTTCGAATAAAACCTGAAAACAGTTGACTTTTTACCACCAAATATTGTTCAACCATTTGAGTTAAACTACGTTCACAATAAAGTAATCTGGTAATTTAGCTGCATTTCAAGGTGTCTAGATCTTCTAGCTCCCAAAATTGAAAGCATGGCTTTTATTATTTTGAAAGCATAATAAAAAGAGATGTGTTAGTCTTTGATATTTAATTTATACGTTTGATTTTTAAGGTGAAACTTTGCACAGAAAAATGAAGAAACTCTTAGAATTTTTGGACAACAACAGGGATGGCGGTAAGTAACGAATCATTAAGTGAGAAATAATTACTTGAAACGATTTGATAATCTTTCTGAAAGTTCGTCAAAAAAAACTGTCACTTATCACCATTTGGATACTTAAAACCATCGAGCGAGCACAATGTAATGCCTATATTCACACATAAAACTCACGCAATAAAGGTTTATTTTCTCTCAACTTCATACTTCCCAATACACTGTTAGATTGCTCCCAGTATTTCCTATAATTTCTAACTTTTTATTCATCAAAATAAGGAAATATATTTATAACTCCTGATAAAAACAAACCCAATGCTAAATCTAAAGGAAACGGATACAAGTTTTTGCAAGATAATGTTACTGTAAAATGGTAAGGAAAACAAACAACCGTTAACTTTTTCCATGAAACATCCAAGAAACTCACAGAATAAAACAAGAAAACCTAAAATAATACGTTCTTCTGATAAATTGTAATACTTGGAACAAAAATCAAGTTTCAGTATAGCTTCTAACTGAATGATTTGTTTCATTCTTTTAGAAATTGCCGAGGTTGTTAATTATGAAGCTGCTGGGTTTGACGTTGAATTCATTGCCTGGCTGATAAGCGTACACATGGCGCTGAGACTAGCTTTAGCTCTGCTTTCGTTGCCCAAAGCAAGCACCAATGCGTCTGGTTTGAAAATAGATGAAATTGTTGACAAACAGGAAGACAGTGAAATGCAGCAATTAATGAATGATACATTCGAGAGTATCACAAGCATTGATAATGATTCTACCCTGGATGACTTTGACAAAAGTTATGATAACTTCAACAGTTATGGTGTTGGTGAGGACGTATATGCAAAAGCCTCGACACCAAAACGAGGCCATTTCATGCCTCTAAACATACAAAACCAACTATATTGCGCGGGAAAAGGGAAGATGACGAAACTCATGCCAAAAGAGTCACATTTTCATCAAATCTCGAGCTTAAGGATGAACAGCAGAGGAAGCAGTCTCATGGAACCAAATATGTGGCCGACCAAAGGATGCCTGAATGTTAGTCTCGCATCAGATTTATCGGAATTTGATAGCATTGATGGCGGAACTGACGAAATGGATATAACACACGAGCAGAAAATGAAACACAGAAGACTAATAGACAGTAATGTCACCAAGCTGGAAGAGAAATGCGATCTGCTCGAAGAGAAGAATTCAAAGCTGATGCGCACTCTTAATGTAATTATGAGAGAAAACAAAGATGTGAACGAGAAGCTGCGATTAATGCAAGTGGAAAAACTTAAAACAACAAGGGAGATTGAGGACTTTGAACACAAGCTAAGCAAGATAAGGTCGGATAAAGTAGCGCTAGAATGCAGTACCAATGAGATGAAGAACGAGCAAAAACGAGCAGAGAAAGAAGCAAAGAGATTTTCACTAGAGAATAAGCAAATACAGATACAAAATCATGGGTTACAGCGTCAGATATCGATGAAAGACGGAGAAAATGAATCCTTACGACAGCAGATTGCCGAGTTGAAAACTGAGCTTGCAGCTTCAAAGGCAGACATGGAAGATTCAAGCAAAAAGATCGAGGAGCTGGAAGGTAAATGCAAAGAAGATGATCTTAGGATAAAAGAGTTAATAACAGACAGAGATGGGCGGCTGACAGAATTGAAAGCAATGTATGTGAAATTGGAGAAATCTTTATCAGAAGGGGATAGCGAAGAATCACGAAAAGCTAAAGGTTTCGAAGTTGGAGATGATGAAGGAACCTTCGAAACAGAGCTCTTTGTAGCAATAGAGAATAATATCAGGATCGAAGGCATAATCAATGAAGTCAAGGTCAAGCTTTCAAAGTTGATTGATCCTGAAAAGAAGGAGGAAGAAGGAAATGGAGATGCAAAAAAGAAAGAAAGCGTAGTTATTGTCGACCCAAGAAATGTGACAAACAAGACAATGAAAAAGAAGCTGCAACAAAAGAGTCGAGGTGGTGAGACCAAGGCCAGCGTCTTGCGAAGAGCAAAATCCTTACGAAATGAGAGTGCAAAAAAACCAGTTGTTGTAAACAAAAACAACGACAATATTGTTCCTCGCGGAGGTAAAATTAAAGAGCTTATGAATGAAAAGCTAAAGATAGAGAAAAGTTATAAGGAGCTTCTTTTGAAGAACGAAAAGGTAGAAGAGGAGTTGAAAACAACAAAGAGCCAAATTGAGATGCTGGTGAGTGAATGTGGTGTGCTTGATCACGAGCTGGCGAAAATGAAGAAAAATGGAGCAGTTAATTTGGAAACAAATTTCGAATTGGATGTGACAGGAGACGAATCTAGAGGGTTCGAAGACTCACTGTTTTTGAGAACAAGAGATATCGACAAATTGAGCGAGAAGCATGAAGAGCTACGAAGAAGTTTAAACAATTCTAGAAACAGAATACAAGAGCTAGAATCAGAGTTGGCAATCAGTTTGGATGAAAACGTAGCGACGAAAAGACATGCGAGAGATATGGAGCGTAGGTATGAAGAAGCGAAGTCAGAGGTTCAGCACTACCAGGGCCAAAACTACAGCCAAAAGATAGAAAACACAAGACTGAGAGACCACGTGATCCAGCTGACACAAGAGCTAAGCAGAGAGCAGCAAAGAGTGGAGCAACTGGCGAGTAAAGTTGGAAACATGAAGGAGAGGAACGCGTTACAAGTTAGAAGATTAGAAGGGGAGATGCTTAAGTGTGTTAAGAAGCTAGATCGATACAGAGAAAGGGAAAGAGTGAGAAGACAAGAGCTCAAACAGATGGATAACAGTGGCAAGGATTCCTCAGAAGCAGACAGTGGCATGGTTCCAGATCACAGCGATGAGAATGTAGATCTAACATAGATCAGCTAACCTAATGCTATGACACTCTGGTATGGATAGTCAATAGAAAGTTTCGAATCATGCTATCCTATCGTATAAGCACAAGAGGGTAGATTGCCTAGAGCTGGATAGTTAAAATTAAAATATTAAATATTGAAATAGATAGTCGACGAGTCTATATTTTAATTTGAAAATCATGTTCATTTGTGGACGTGGGCAATTTTTTCTATTTTTGTAGACCGGGTTATTACTTTGTGTTGATTTGATGATAAATTTATAAAGATTGTTACTTTTATAGTAGCTTTAAAAAGAATTTCATATGTTATTGCCAGACCTAGAGTTGAAGACGAAACCAAAAATAAGGTCTTGGTGTAGTTTTTCTGCTAATTTATGCTCATTAATAGATCATGATAGGAAAGTACTAAACCCCACAAGAACTTGAATCCCATTAACAAAATGTATATCTTCCAATCGTCATTGAACTGATACAAAAAAAACTGACATTTTGAAAACCTTAATACGAAAAAATGTAATATGGAAAGGATCCATACCTAGGACCTGAAAATTTCATTTTAAGTAGGAGACAACCATGGTATCAATTTATGTCTCCTTGACCTAAACAGGAATAGGGTGATGCTTTCCTGGCAAAAAAACCAGAAGAAGTTGCTATGGCATGTCAATTATGTAGATAATTGTTGAAAAAGTTTTGAACATTAAAAATCAATTCTTGATTACTGAAGAATTTCAATTTTTATTATAAAATTGACAATTATAATCAATTTATATGTACATTAAATTCGTATTGAAATATGTTTGTTATTATAGCTTCAATTTTATTTTATTTTCATTATCAAGATGTTAATTGAAAGCTTAAGCATTGCAAATTATTAATTATAAAAAGAATTTCGAAGGAAATACTTAGCGAAATATTTGGAATAGCTTTCTGCTAATTTATAAGCAACTTATACTTATGGAAGAAACGCCTGTTGAAAAGAAATGTCTGTTTGAAAAGATGGGCTAGAGTAAGAAAAAAATGTAATTTTGAAACCACTATCCGAAAGTTGATTGATAGGTTTCTTTGCAATAACCTTGATGAAAAGTCTTGTAAAGCATTTAGATCAAATTCATACTTATTTGAAAAGGTTTGTACTAAATCTAGTTTTGTGGATCATGTTAAAGCGAAACTCTTTTCTAGTTTTTCTCTACTAATTTTGCAGACCTTGTCGATAAGCAGTGCAAAATGGAATAAGTAATAGTCGGTATAGATTGTGTCAAAAATGAGGGTGCCGAAAATGAGGGTGAGGCAGCGCCAATGGGTGGAACCCTACCCACTTTATTCAATTACTGATGTTTTACTTCAAAAAAAGTTTTTTAATAAATCAAGCAAAAACCAGTTCTTCTCCTATCAGTATAGATTCGTGATATTGTGAACAGAGCTTGATAGTAGATAAATCTAAAAGTACTAGTTGTCGAAAACCTCCACTATAGTGGTGTAGTGCTATCAAAAAAAGGGCGACTCTTGTACGAAATGTTGTGAGAGACTATAGCAAAAGTAGAAATTTGCCAATTTTCGGTACCAACAACAGGCACCGCGGAGCAGGGGGCTTTAGCCCCCCCCATCCACTTCTTGCAAAAATGTCAAATGTTAAGTAATAAACTACCAATAGAGCCTCTTTCTATGCGATTTTAACCCCCCCCCAACTTTTTTAGGATCCCCCACTTTAGGATTTTAATGATTTGATAATAAAAACATTTATATTACGCGAACCTACGCCTGGAATTACAGAAAAGATGGCAACTCTCCTTACTCTAAGTGAAAGTCGGAGAATTGAATCACAAACCCTTTGAACTATAGTCCGCGAATCTAGCAACTGAACCATCTTTATTTCAAGAAAGTGTAGTATGTCTACAGTCTAAAGATAATAATTAAAATTTTGCTTTTTAAGACAAAAGGAGAATTGACAATAAAACAACAACAGTGAATTCATATTAGTTAGGCAATCTAGCAAACCAAAAAAGGGACTCCGAAAGAAAGCCAAATTCCATGTAAGAAGCGAGTTTGCAGTCTTTGAAAATCGATTTTAGAAAGTCTAGAAAGAATCTGACTCAAATAACTTTAACTTTAACATTTTAACCTGCATATGGTCCAGACAGAATTCTATTTTCAACAACTGAAGACCTAAGCTGGTATATAGACAGAATATCAAATTTTCCTTGGCGTAAGTTTGGACAGAAATTTTAGCTAAAAGATATGGCAGCTATTTCGAATTATTCTTGCCTTGTGAATTGCGAGACTGACATGCCGATTAGCATATGCTCCAAGTAAAATGGCTAGATGTCTATATCTTGCATTTGTTCGAAAAATAAATCTCCACACACAGTAAACCTTCCGGTAATATTGCTTGTTATTCTTTTTCACTTCTTAAATTTGAAGAAAAATACAGAACAAATTACTCCAAAATTCTATTTTACAAACAACAAGGTAATATCTTACCAGTTAGATCCAACACTTAATCTTGAAAAATGTTTGCACCTCTTCATCGTTGATATCTTTATCGATGATCTTTGAGTAAACCTTTTTGAGTGTTTCAAATTTGAACTTGTTCTCCAGAACTGAGACAGTCTTATCTAGCGACGAAAAGCCCATTACTTTGCCATACTGGATCATGCTCTTTTCAAGATGGGGATTGTCCCAGTCTTCAGTTTTCACAATAAGCCTGATAATTTCACCGTGCAGGAAAGCATCGTCAAAACCTAGCTCCTTTGGAAATGGGTACTTGCAATAGACTGAAATTGCTTGTTTTGGTTCAGTTTCCAATAGCATCTCAGCTAGCTCGATATAAGCATCATGCACGTTGGGTGCCATTTCTATGACATCAGTATATAATTTTTTTATTTCTCCCCAATGGAAATCTTTATCCATGCGCGACAAAACCCTTGCTAGGCCAAGGCGAGGGTGATAACTTGCTACATTCACTAACGTAACATCGTTACTCGACTGACCTTCAGTGTCCTTCTTTTTCTCATTTTCTTTCGAGTTTTCTATTTTAGAAGGATCAGTTTGCGTTTGCTGTACATCAGTTGCTGCTTTCTCTGGTGATATTGTCTTCACAGGGACCTTCTTGGCTCCAGCACAAGTACTGGAATGTGTTTTTTCTAAATTTTGACCTACAAACAAAAAGAACGTCTTGAATAAAAATGACAAGTCGTTTGAGAATGAAAGGCTGGACAGGATAAAGAGTGTTGCTATTGCTAAGTACCCAAACAAAGAGATACCCTAGCTTCTTGATTTTTTTAAGAAGGGTTCTGCTAAGTGGTAAAGGAAGGGCAAAGACTTTTCTCAACGGTGTAGTGCAAAAGTTATAGTTAATTTTGATATAAATTTCTAAGGAGCAAAGTTTAATACCAGTGTCATCCGATTAAAACTGGATAAAAATCCAGAATATTGGTCCATATTCAGATAAGAGGAGATGAAAATACTTCAAATGCAGTTAAGATCGAGAGACAACTGACTAGGGCACTCTGGAAGTAGCTATCTAGGTTACTTTGTAAACAACTGACTAGGCCACTTAGGAAGCAATGGACCATATTTCTATGCAATGGACTGAGCCAATTCAAAAATGTGGTGCGCAGCTGCAAAAGGTTAAACTGGTGTCGATGGTGACTGGATGGACAGGAGGCCGGGGATAGCAAGGTTTATGTGACATCAGATAAATTAGTGCCTCTCTTGTTTCTCAGTAGTTGTGTTATTGAAAAATGTCAATTTCATATGCTATTGCTAATTTGAAAGTATAATGAAAAAAAGTAACGAGCCAAACAATTTCCCGGTTACCGCCTACTTATAGTGCAATTAGCAATTGCTTCAGTAGTTTAGCAACTCTTCTCACAACACATAAAATTATCTGAAATATTCAAACCAGATAGAAAGTGGCACTGGTGAAAATCAAAAGATCTTAGCATCAGTTTCATGCGATCTTTCTTCCCTACAGAAATCACATGAAATAGATTATGGCACTAGCAAAGAGTACACGAGAGTTCTTGTCTACATTTGCAGAATTTGGTTTGTCAGCTGATGTCCAAGAGAATGTTATTGCAACACTGATGAAGTTGCCTGTCACTTGTTTAGTGAAAGACAACACACCTCTATAGATGACGCTTGCTGAGAATCTTCTGGAAAATTTTTTGCAGGATGAGGGGGTCACAGATTTATCACTCCTTCCTCCATTCGCCATACCAGAGAAGCCTTTCAAAACACATCAAGCAATCCAACCACGTGGCTAGCAGGGCCGTTGCTAGCTATTGTGCTCAAGGGGCTGGGCCCAATAATTGTCCAACTGTACAATATTTCCTTCATAACAGTGTACTGAAAGGGAAGCAATACAATGGGCAGCCACCCCCCCCTCCCCTCCACTATGAAATTCGTTTCGACGGCACTGAGGGGGGTTTCATGGTCCCATTGCAGACAAAATGGGTGAGCTATCCTTAATTTGTCTTTTTTACCCTTAGATGGAAACAGAGTTTTCTTCAAGAGTGTTGTTACACCCCTTGTGTCCACCGGCGGCCCTGGTGGCTAGAATTTGGAGACAAGCATAAACTTCTATAATGCAGCAGAATGACCCTCACATACCAAATGGAATGAGAATTTATTCGTTGATTGGATTCTGGAAGCCCACCTGGAAGATAAAGTTTTTGTAACCTTCTTGTCATCAACGACGATGAAACTGCCATTCGGCACAACAGTTTAGATGAAGTCCCAATTCCCCCCAAAAATTGGAATTGACCCACATGGTAACAAACAAATCTCTTTACAAGTCTCTTTCCGTGCTTTTTTCAAATTTTGCGGTATCAAAGGCTTATTTCAATTTCCAAATCTTAGTTCATAGAAACAGTAACCTTAAGTCAATGGAAATATCTTCCTTTTAGTCTGATATCTTGAAAATTTTATTCAGAAACATTTCAGTCCTCCACGAGGAATTTGCGATATGCGATTTTTTTATCGAGAAGGCTCGACATCTTTCAAGAAAGAAAGATTAAGCTCTTGAAACTTTCTCAATTTTCTTCTTTTCGCGGCGGTTGAAAGGACTATGGTCTTTGTGAGGCTAGTTTTTCCTCAGCTTTCCTATTTCACCCATATTAATTTGAATTTACAATTAATTTTGGCAAAAATCTTGGTATCAAAGGAAACCTATTTTCTAGAGGAAATTCAGAAAGCTACTGACGTTGATTAAGAACGACGAAATAATTCGAGACGATCAGGCGATTAGTGAGCATTTCAATCGCTACTTTGGAAATATAACCGACACGCTAAAGATTGCTAAGATAGCAAAAAAATCTATGCAAACTACAGATGACCCTGTCAGAATCTGTATACAAGCATACTCAAACCATTCTAGTATATTAAGGATTAAAGGTAGGGTTAATGTTCGAGAAAAGTTTGTATTTTCACACGTAGACCCTTCTACGGTTTTCAGTGAAATTCTAAAGATGAATGCATCTAAAAAGACTAGTTGAGCTGTACCTACTGATAAATTAAAATAAGCTTCAAATATTTGCTATAAGGAAATAGCATATCATATAAACAACGCAATAGACATGAACGTCTTTCCAGACATTTTAAAGCTAGCAGAAGTCTGGCCTATTTTCAAAAGTGGCGAATCCACGACTGACGTCAATTAAAGACCGGTTTTTTCTTCTGTCTCGAAAATTTATGAAAGACTTCTCTAAAAACAAATATTACCTCACATTAGCCAATTTCTATCAGACTTATCGTGTGGTTTTCGCGAGAAATACAGTACACAAGATGCCCTGATAAGGTTGATTGATTCCTATGGTGATGTTATTTATTTATCATAAAGGCAAGGACAGACAAATTCAAGTCTAGCTTCTATCCCAATTGTTTATCCGAATGGAATGAGCTTGAGCCTGAATTGAGACATGCACCTTCTGTTGCTGTTTTCAAGAAGAAGCTCTTGTCGATAATCCGTCCCCCTGCAAAATCTGTGTTTAGAATTCATGATACAAAAGGATTATCCTATCCCACTCAACTCAGGGTTGGTCTCAGCCAATTGAATTTCCACAAATTCAAGCATAATTATAGGGATACTATAAACCCAATGTGCTCAACAAGTGATGGGATTGAGGATACGGAGCACTTTTTGTTGCTCTGCCCTTCATTTGATGTTTAGCGACAAGATCTTCTCGCTAGAGTTGCCGAATTATTACGTCCATTTGTACAAATCACCGATCTTTCTAACGTTGCTTAGACCCATCTTTTGTGATATTGTGATAATCAAGACCTTTCCAATGACTTGACTATAAATATACTCGAATTGACTTTATGTTTTATCCACGAAACTGGTCGGTTTGATTAATATCTTTTGCAACCTTTGTAACCATCAAGTCCTTTAAAGTCAATGTTATTTTTCCTTGTAAATTCTTTTTAACATCACATTTCGGGTATTCCACCTTTCCCTACGTTTAAGTTGTGCTTGCAACATCATCCAAGTTATCGAAACCCCGACCTGAGATCTGATGTGGGACAGAATCCTTGTTATATTGTTCAATAGTTTTTTAATCGTTTGTAGCGTTATGGGTGTTTGCTATAAACAGATGGAAATCGAAGTATAACACAACGTTAAACAAACATTAAATTTATTTTTATGCTGAATCTGGAACAATAACACAGGAGCGTCAATATAATGCATTAAAAATTTTAACCTCAAGAAAATGGTGTACAATATTGCACTGATTTTTTCTAAATCACACTAATGAAGTAATTATAAATAGCTACAATGAGCATGTTTTGCTGAACACAGCTTTTCAAAGCGGGGTTTGAAGCATGATAGTGTAACTCTCAGCTCCTGCTCAATGTTCAGCTGGGACCTGTAAGAATATCCGGTATGTAACAACGAAAGAACACCCGAATTTGAACTTCAATACTTCATTTCATATTCTCACGCATAACATCATATAACATAACATAACGAACCGGGCGCATGCCCAACATAACATAAATACGAGGCTAATAACGTCACACCTTTCCTCCAACAAAAGAATAAACGGAACAGTAAGATAGTAGAAATAATTGTTTTTAAAGTTTGCTAATCAGAAGTTGTGGCCAGTGAGGTAGTCCGGCCGAATTACTTTCCTGCCACTCCTTGTCGTTACTGGCTGGTAAAAGTTCAATTGCCTGTGATCAAATCTGGTCTCAGCATGTCTGGCGGCTGCTGTCTTTTCTTCAGTAGCATCAGGTCGTGAGTGAGGTGACTCTTGCGGATCAAATTGCTCCATTTCAGATTGGTGATCTTCATAAGGTCGAGCCACTGCTTCTTGTTCCTTTCTGGGGAAAATGATTGAATCTTCTTCATCTGCAAAGAAAGGCTCTTTGGTTTGACGTAGAAACTTTCGATTTCGTCTGAAGATTCTTCCATCTTCGGTTTTTACATCATAAGATCTTACACCAACTTGCTCTATGACACATCCTTTGGTCCAGCGGCCTGTTCTGTCGGAATTTCTTGGCTTTATCCGGACTACATCATCTTTCTTTAATGCACTTAGCTCCCTTGTGCCTCTGTTATAATACTTTGATTGTATCTCTTTCCTCTTTCGAAGTTTTTCTTGGACACCAGTGACAACCTTTGGTTTAAGGAGCTTCTTCGATATGGGAAGCAGTGTTTTAGCTCGTCTGCTAAACATACGCTGGGAAGGAGAGCTTTCCATCCCCTCAGACGGCGTGTTTCGCCATTCTAGTAGCACAAGATAGAAGTCATTGCCAGATTCAGTCGCTTTTTTCATTAGCATCTTTGCAGTTTTGACGGCATTTTCTGCTTTGCCATTACTTTGTGCGTACTCTGGCGAGCTTAGCTCGGTGGTAAATTCATATTCCTTGGCAAAATCCTGAAATTCTTTAGAGGAGAAAGGTACGTTATCACTCATGAGCTTATCTGGTATGCCATGAGTAGAGAAGTGTCGCTTGAGCTTCTTCTTAATTTCCCCAGCAGTTTTGTAAAATAGACGATCTATCTCAAAGTAGTTGGAGTAGCAATCCACAGTACAGAGAAAGTCTTTGTTGTTGACTGTGAAAATGTCAGCAGCAATTATTTGCCAGGGGCGGCTTGGGATTTCACGAGGAATAAGGGGCTCTCTGGTCTTGGTTGTTTTGGAATGTG